ATGCTGGCTATCTTTGTATTCTAAATATACTTGTTAAAATTCTAAGAGTGACTATTTTAAAATAGAAATAGAGCATATAACTTCCACTTAACTCTTCAAGGAAAAAATAGAATGTCAGATTGAGCCAGAGCCACGGAAGAGCACTCAGGCAGCGGGAGCTACACGTGCAAAGGCCCTGGGGAAGGAGGGAAGAGGCACACGCCTGGCACTGACGTCAGTGCGGCTGGAGGCAGATGGGTGCAGAGAGGGGTCTGAGACGCGGCTGGAGGCAGCAGGACCAGACGGGATGGGGCCTCAGGGCCGTGGTTCTGAACTTCATTCCAACAGCAGAAAAAGGGAGGCATGTTTGTAACCTGCAGTGAGGCAGGAGCCATGGACAGGATTGCATCTGTGGCTTGCCAGCATCCCGCAGGGAGCAGACTGCCCTCAGGCCCCAGCGGAGGGAGGGAGAGCAGGCAGAACAATTTTGGCCCCTGGATATGGTGGTGGCAGGGGAGGTGGTGAGCAATGGAGGAAGGGAGATTTAGGAAACAGGGCCCAGCTCCTCGGTGTGGGGGCAGTGAGGCGAGGGAAGAACACGGAGAGAGGCTGGCTCGGGGCTTGACAGAGTGGTGGGGTGTCCCATGGGAGGCAAAAGCAGATGGTGGGGCGGGCGAGAGAGTCACGGTTCTTTCCGCCTCATCAAGTGTGTTTCTGAGGACATGGAGGGCGGTGGGAGGCTGACAGTGCAGAGAGAGCGCAGGAGTGGGAGCGGGGCCGGGGGCAGGACCTGCCAGGCTCAGTAGCACTAGGGCAGTCTTCATAGATGAGATGGGGCATGGCCCCTCTGGAGAGGGAAGAGGAGGGGGTAGCAGAGGCAGAGCTGGGGCAGCCAGGGAGGTAGGAGGGTGCTATGGACTGAGGTATGACCCCCCCAAATCCTTATGTCAAGCCACAACCCCCAATGTGACCAATTTGGAAATAGGGTCTTTAGAAGGTAACTACGACCTTTGCGAAGTCATAAGGGTGGACCCTAATCCAACAGGACGGTGGCCTTCCACAAAGAGGAGGAGACACCAGAGGAGGACGCAGCAAGGCCGGCAGAAAGGTTTCGTCAGAAACCAACACTGGGCCGGGCGCGGTGGCTCAAGCCTGTAATCCCAGCACTTTGGGAGGCCGAGACGGACGGATCACGAGGTCAGGAGATCGAGACCATCCTGGCTAACACGGTGAAACCCCGTCTCTACTAAAAAATACAAAAAACTAGCTGGGCGAGGTGGCGGCGCCTGTAGTCCCAGCTACTCGGGAGGCTGAGGCAGGAGAATGGCGGGAACCCGGGGGGCGGAGCTTGCAGTGAGCTGAGATCCGGCCACTGCACTCCAGCCTGGGCGGCAGAGTGAGACTCCGTCTCAAAAAAAAAAAAAAAAAAAAAAAAAAAAAAAAAAAAGAAACCAACACTGACACTGACGGCACCTTGATCTCGGACTTCCAGGCTCCAGAGCTGTAAGAAAATAAATGTCTGCTGTCTAAGCTGCCCAGGCTGAGGTCTTCTGTTACGGTAACCTGGGCTCACTCATACAGAGGGGAACCAAAAGCATATGCGGTCCTGGCACCCACAAGCGAGCGTGTGTCAAGAAAGAGGAAGCAGAAACCGCGGGCATGGCTGCTCCTTCAGAGCACGCAGAAAACTGTGCAGACAGGGCACGGGCACAAACCCATGTGAGCAGAGAAGCATCTCTCCAGGTGCACACCCGCACTGCTGAGACACAGCTGCCCCCGCAGGGCTCAGAAGTTCCCTGTGAGAGCAGCGCCATCCCCCATGCCTCCTGAGGCTGCCTGGGTCCCACAATGGCCACCGCACCGTCTCCTATCCCACAAGCCCTCCTAACCCTGCCTCCCCCCCATCAAGATGCAGGGGCTGTGTCCCCTCCCCTTGAGCCTGGCCAGGGCTTTGGGTCTCTGCTGACAGAGGACAACAGAAGTGAACTGTGTTGGCTTGGTGCATTGCAAATGCTCACGCCTGTAATCCCAGCACTTTGGGAGGCCAAGGCAAGACGATCACTTGAGCCTAGGAGTTCAAGACCAGCCTGGGCAACATAGTGAAACCCCCACCTTTCTACAAAAAAAAAATTAAATTTAAATTAGCCGGGCATGGTGGCGGGCGCCTGTAGTCCCAGCTACTCGGGAGGCTAAGGCAGGAGAATGGCGTGAACCCAGGAGGCGGAGCTTGCAGTGAGCCGAGATCGTGCCACTGCACTCCAGCCAGGGTGACAGAGCGAGACTGCATCTCAAAAAAAAAAAATTTTTTTTTTTGTTTTAATGAGCCAGGCATGGTGACACACACCTGTAGTCCCAGCTACTCACAAGGCTGAAGCAGTAGGATCGCCTGAGCCTAGGAAGTCAATTCTGTAGTGAGCCATGATTGCACCACTGCACTCCAACCTGGGCAAGAAGCAAGACCCTATCTCAAAAAAAAAAAAAAAAAAAGTGCCTGGGTGACGTGCAAGCTATATTCTGTCAACAAACAAGAAATAGACCAACACTGCAGATCAGGAAACAAAAGAAAAGGGGGGTCTCAGGAACTGCAATTTAGGAGACACAGATCTAGCCAGGAGCTCAATCGTGTCTGTGCCGGGGAGGCCCGGCAGGGGCTTACAAAGGTTTGCGGTGAGTCTACACATCCAGAAGGTGTTGGCATGGTCCATGACCAACGGTGGGGGCTTAATAGCGTAGGACAGCTCTGGCTGATAATCAGTCTAGTCAGGTGTGCCTGTCCCCAGGAGACCAGTGATCAGGCCTGGTGTGAACAGTTCAAATCAAAGTCAGCTGGTTCATGATTTGGCCCAGGTCAAGGGGTCAGTTCCATCTGGCGAGTTGGACTGGGTCCAGCTCCTCCTGCCCTCACAGCTCCTTTTTAGATAGCCCTGACATAAGCATCTCCATTACGGAATTTCTTTTCACAGCTCTGGAGTCCACACACCTCCATCGTGTTCCCCTGGGAGGCTGACTCTTGGGCCCCCAGAGTCACCATGCTGAGTGAGCCATCATGGAGCTGGCCCTCCACCCCCCACTCAGGCACCCCAGCTGATGCCATGTGGACAGAGATGAGGCAGTCCTGCTGAGCCCTGTGCAAATACATGATCTCTGGGATTTACATTTGAGGGTCATTTGTTACACAGCAACAAACAGATGCATTTTGCCTGTGGCGCTAAGAAACCACCCCTCATATTGTCTTATGCCCAATTTCTGCCTCCAAAGAAAGAAAAAGTAAAAACTAAAAGACAGAAATGAAATCCACAGGCAGTCAGAGTGACCTGCCCCGACTAGTCACAGGGCTCCCTCCTCCTTGGGACCCTCCCTCCTTCCCAGCCCAGAGCCCCTCCCTCCAAAGCTTCCCTGCTCCTACCCCATCCTTGTCGGGAGAAAAGACCTGCAGAGAACCCCAACAAGCCTCTTCATCGAGGGAGGGGAGCACGCCACTCACCCAGAAGGGGATTGGGAACCAGAAGTCAGGTTAGCCTCCCTGAGGTCGCAGGGCCTGATTCTGGCACCCCAGTGTCCAACACCTGCCCCCCATTACTGCAGGGTACTTTACAGCCCCCGCCTACACCTCAACCCCCCTCCAGCTCCACATCTGTTCAGGCGATGTCCAACACCACCCGAATCTTACTGACCACTGGTGAGAAAGGGAGGGGCAAGGTTGGTCTCTGCATGGTACAGCTGGGTAAACTGAGGCAGCACGTTCTGGGCAGCCCAGGACGCCCAGGTTCCCGCCAGCCCGTGGCCTCTCCTACCTTGCACGGGCTTCACAGTTTGCCAGCAAAGCCACAAACGGGGGCTCCACGGGCCAGCGACTCTGTGCCCTCCCCACCCCACCTCAGTTTCCCCCGTGGAGCTGGTCTGCAGGCCTGGAATCCACACCCCCCGCCACACTGCACCACTCTGCAGGTCGCTGGCACCTATTCTGGCTTCACTGGGACCCCCACCCAGATGCACCCTGCAGCCGACTCCACCAGACCCACGCTGCCCAGGTATTTTTAGCAGAGGTTCAGGTGTTTCTTAAACCTCAACTGAGACGTGAATTTCTGCCCTGACGGCTGCAGCCGGGAGCCACACGTCTTGCCTGGCGGGCGTGGGCGGTTCTGACCTCGGAGTCACAGCTGCACGGTCTGCAGTCCTCTGGGAACTTCCTCCTCCCAGGTGCCCCAATTTGGGCTCCCCAGGTGCCTCCACCCCAGGCTGCCCAATGGGCTCTCCCTTGCCCTGTCCTCCGTCTAGAGCCCCTCCCGATGACAGTCGCCACCCCCTCTCCTTCTCTGTCTAGAAGCTTGGAGAGCAAGAGCAGATGCCTGGGTTCAGGTTCTCAGGGATCTGGGTTCAAGTCCTGGCCCCACCTGCACTTGGGAAAGCTGCTGCCTCTCAGAACCCGTTTCCTCCACTGCGAAGTGGAGGGAAAAGTGCCCACAACGGGGGACTGTTGTGACTATAACCAGCCAGTGGTGCCTGCAGCACCCACAGACCCCCAGACATCTTCAGGGCTCCCTGTGCCCCAGTCAGCGCCAGGAGCCTGCAGGACCAAGAGGGGCCCTGGCAGGGGTGCACAGACCTTCAGATGTTCAGACCTGAGGCCCAAGACCTGCCTGTCAGGACCGAGACACTCCTGCCTGGGGATGCTGGAGTCCCAGAAAGTGAGAAGCAATGGTCCAGTGCCCTCTGCTCTCACTTCCTCCCCACCAAGCACAAGTATTAATTATGCAAACCTCAGCTCCCCGGGGGCGCCAGGAGGAAACGCCTGGCGGAGCGTCTCCCACCCTGTGCAGCCTGGGTCTCCCTCCACGGTCCCAGCCTCTTCCACTGCCGCTTTCAGTTACCCGGCTTTGTAGGAGCAAGCAGCGTGTCCGTTTTCTTCTTTCTCAAACCATCTTAGCTGCTTTTGATTGGTATTCTTCCATGTAAAATGTAGAGTACATTTATTGATTTCTTAAAAAAAAAAAAAAAATGAAGCCCAAATGAGACTCTGATTAGAATCACATTGAATTTATTATGTCCATCTGGGGAGAATTATGTGTTTATAACATTAAGTTTTCCTGTCCATTCTGTTGGGTTTGCTAAGTAAGCTGACATGTGATCTGCAAATGATGGCAGATGACTGTGTAAGGTGACCTTGGGAATGTCGTGGCTCCTCTCCAGGCATCTCCGTCTCCACAGCACTCTCCTTCACATTCCAGAAACTTCTCTCCACCAGGCATGCCTTTGGCCAGTCCTGGGACATGTACTGCCCCTTGAGGTTTCCAATACTCTGTCCCACCTTTATAAAGAGCCCCTTTGTTAAACACTGCTACAAGTAACCTGCTCTAAATGTGGGTCTATCTCCTGCTGGGACCCTGCTAGGTCTAAGAGTTTCTCCCAGGAATTCAAGGAAGGTTTAATATCAGAGTTCAATCCATGCAAATACCATCTGAATAGATGACAGGGCAAAAAGGGTCCCAATATCTCAAGTGATGCCACTGGTGACTTTTTAAAAATTTCTGAGCAAATTAGAAATTGAAACAAATGAAATATTTCTAATTTGACAAAATTGTTCACCAAAAACCCACCACAAAAATACATTGATGGAAATAGCTGTTGCCAGGAGTTTGGGAAAGAGGAAGTGGTTGGATTGGTGGAACACAGGGGGTTTTTAGGGCTGTGAAACTAATGTGAATGACACTGTAATGGCAGAGACATGACACTACGCATCTGTCAAAACCCACAGAACTTTACAGCAAGAGTGAGCCTTAATGTATGCAAATTTTAAAGTTCAGTCAAGAGGCTGGGTGTCTAGGACGGAAGACGGGCCGTGTGTGGCGAGAGCCTCTGGCTGTAGTACAGACCCAGGGAGCAGCCTCACTGGAGGCGCTGGGGGAAGGGGCTGACCTGGGCACCCTCACAAATGATGAAGTCTGTGAAACCAAAAGCAAATGGACCCGCACATGAGCCCTGTACCCTGGTAGACAAATGCTTCTGCCGAGGGGTACAGGTGAGCAATTCCTACACCGCTGGCCCTGCACAGTGGAGCTTATCGATTAGGTCAATGGATGGTGGGTGGTGGGGCAGGTTCCTTACTGTTGGGTGTGAGCTACAGACAAATAGGGGCAGAGGCTAGAACGACCCATTGCCGAGGGTCAGAGTCGAGACAGCAGCACCAGCTCCCGTGGGCTCCCTCTCCATGCAAGCAGTGTGATGATTGACTTTATGTGTCAGCTCCCCTGGCCGTGGGGTGCTGGTTGGTTACTTCTGGGGATGTCCCAGGGTGTTCCGGATGAGAATAGTATTTGAATCAGTGGGCACTGTAAAGCAGGCCCACCTGCTTTACAGTGGCATTACCCAATCTGCTGAGGACCTGAATAGCACAGAAAGCAGAGAAAGGTGAATTTGCCCCACTCTTCCTGCCATGCTGCTTGAGCTGGGACACTCACCTCACCTTCTGTGGCCCTGACACTGAGATTAATGCCATCAGCCCTCCAGCTCTCAGGCCTTCAGACCCAGACCACACTGCACCACCAACTTCCCTGAGTCCCAGCGAGTAGGCAGCAGGCGTGGGACCTCTTGGCCTCAGGAATCACCTGGACCCAGGCTTCAGCTGGCATTTCCCCTGCTTGCACTTCTTTCTCCTGCCACCTTGTGAAGAAGGTGCCTGCTTCCCTTCCACCATGATTGTAAGTTTCCCCAGGCCTCCCCAGCCATGCAGAACTGTAAGTCAATTAAAGCTTCTTTGTGGGCTGGGCGAGTTGGCTCACACCTGTAATACCAGCACTTTGGGAGGCTGAAGTGGGTGGATCAGTTGAGGTCAGGAGTTCAAGACCAGCCTGGCCAACATGGTGAAACCCTGTCTCTACTAAAAATACAAAAATTAGCGAGGCATGGTGGCACGCACCTGTGATCCCAGTTACTTGGGAGGTTGAGGCAGGAGAATCACTTGAAACCAGGAGGCAGAGGTTGCAGCGAGATGAGATTGCACCACTGCACTCCAGCCTGAGTGACAAAACAAGACTCTGTCTCAATAAATAAATAAATAAATAAATAAATAAATAAATAAATAAAACGGCCTTTGTTTATAAATTACCCAGTCACTGGTAGTATCTTTATAGTAGTGTGAGAACCAACTAATACACCAACTATATTGAAATGCGGTCACCAAAATAATAAAGTAATTGTTATTGGATTTCTTGTTAATCTACTGATTCAGGCCGGGCACGGTGGCCCACCACTATAATTCCAGCACTTTGGGAGGTCAAGGTGGGTGGATCACCTGAGGTCAGGGGTTCAAGACCAGGCTGGCCAACATGATGAGACCCCTATCTCTACTAAAACTACAGAAAACAGCTGGGTGTGGTGGCACTTGCCTGTAACCCCAGCTACTTGGGAGGTTGAGGCAGGAGAATCGCTTGAACCAGGGAGGTGGAGGTTGCAGTGAGCCGAGATTGTGCCACTGCACTCCAGACTGGGCAACAGATAAAACAACCTACTGATTCAGATCTAGCAGCAGCTCTCATGACCAACAGTTGAAGAAGCAACAAAAATGAGGGTTCAAGACATCAAAGCAACTGAAACACAATGGGAAAATACACAAGACTTTGCTGACAGTGGAGTCCCAGGTCCTGTGGAGACTGCCAGGTCCTTTGGCCACATTCTCTATTGAGGAACACTCACTTTAGGCTAGAGGTTGGTGAAAATAAAGATGCAACGTTTTTCCATCCAAGTTCAGGGACACCTGAATCCCGTGACCAGTGGTTCTAGTTTAGAAACCCAGCTGTAGAGTTTACACCTGAGTGTGGTGATTACATCTTCACCATTTCCTGATTTTTAGGGAAAAAAAAAAAAAATTGTAATCTGAACCAAGGTATTTGATCTCCCTCCCTTCCTACAGGTGTCCATGCCCTTGGAGAAGGTTATAGGGGGTGGATGTGTTTTTGACCCCAAGGGCTCCCTACGTAGTCCAGGCCAGCCTGGGGCTTGGAGGAGGGTGGGTGAGCTGATGAGAACTTCCTCCCTGCTCAGCTTCCACCTGCTGGCACCTGTGTGCCCACCACCCAAAGCCTGGGCCTCCACCTGTGTGCCCACCACCCAAAGCCTGGGCCTCCACTCATGCCAAGCACCTGTGTGCCCACCACCTGTGCCTGCCTCCACCTGCTGGCACCTGTGTGCCCACCACCCAAAGCCTGGGCCTCCACCTGTAGGCACCTGTGTGCCCACCACCCAAAGCCTGGGCTCACTGCTGGCACCTGTGTGCCCACCACCCAAAGCCTGGGCCTCCACCTGCTGGCACCTGTGTGCCCACCACCCAAAGCCTGGGCCTCCACCTGTAGGCACCTGTGTGCCCACCACCCAAAGCCTGGGCCACGGGCAACTCCTGTGAGCAGGCTTCACTCTCTTTCCCTCTCACTACTCCTCACCCCAGCTGCAGCCCCTCTCCTCCCTCCCCTTGGTTCAAGATGACCCCAACTCCCCAGGGGATTTCTATTGGGATCTGGTTTGGTTTTTCCTTTTTATGATCCCCTAAACCCATCTTCACCTCCCAACTGGGGCTTCCCAGGTTGACTGGGGAAGAGCCCACATTCTGCATGATTCCAGGCAGCAAAAAGCACTTCTGGCAGGAACCCACATCCTAAGGCAGGCCCTGGGGCACCTTGGGCCGGGAAAGACTGCGGCCCCAAAATCTCCACTCCCCATGCTGCCATCTGAAACACCACCATGACAGATAATGTCTTAGCCTAGGGAGAAGCCACCTGTGCTGGCTAAAAGGGGTCCCAAGAGACCTGCCTGGACAGTGTGGGTGAGGTCATTGCACCCTCCTGCTGAGATGGTGGGCCCTGCTACAGAGCCTGATGCCCCCGAGGAGCTGGGACCACTGCCCTCCCAATACACATACACACACACACACACTGACACAAACACAAACACACACAGACACAAATATACACAGATGTACACAAACACACACAAACACAGACACACACAGACACACAAACACACAGACACACATACACACAGATGCAAACACACACACAAACACACACATACACACAGATGCAAACACACACATACACACAGATGCAAACACACAGAAACACACAGACACACATACAGACACACACATACACACAAACACACAGACACACACATACACACAGATGCAAACACACACAAACACAGACACACACAGACACACACATACAGATGCAAACACACATAAACACACACAGACACGCACACACAGACACACAAACACATATAGACACACATAGACACACACAAACACAAACACATACACACAGATGCAAACACACAAACACACAGACACACACACACACAGACACATAAACACACAGACACACACACACAGACACACAAACACACACAGACACACACACACACACCCTTCACAACCTTCTTGGGCTGTTAGCATTTTCTGCAGAGCTATCAAGGCAGGAAGATCCAGGAGGGACCCCAGGGCGGGGAGGGACAAACTCTCCCAGCTCGGGAAGACCGTGTTCATTCACCTAAATCACTAGTGAGCTCACACTAACAAAAAGTGTTTTGATTCCGCACTCAGAGTTAATCCCATCGCTGGCCAGACATGTTTGCTTTTAGGTTCTCTGGTGGCCCACAGGTCCCAGTTCCAGATGGAAACATCCTGAGGCTGCCCCTCCCGTCCTCAAACTGCACCCTCCCCCGGCCTGGCGCTGTGCGGCCTGGCGCTGTGCGCAGGCTGTAGAGAGAGCCTGGGCTTTTTCACACCTTGGGCAGGTGTAGACCAGGGAAAGGCAGGTGTAGACCAGGGAAGGAAAAGGAGAAGGATGTGGACAACCCTCCACCACCAGAGAGCTCCACCACCACTCCGCAGGCCCTGGTGTGGCACCGTCCCCGAGGGCTGGCACTGGGCTGGTGGCAGACCTCAGCCGCAGAGGGTAGCTGAGTCCCACGCACCGCCCCACCCCTCTTCCTGAGACTGAGCCCCTCTCTCTAGCCCCAGAGCAGGAGTCGTCCCCAGCCCCATCGGCCACTGCCCATGAAGCTGGTTGGAATCGCCCTCAGCGGCCACAGAGGCCCCAGCAGGGTCCCCAGCCAGGCCAACGTGCACTAGCAGCTCAGAAAGAAAGGCCTTGTGTCCGGTGACCCACCCTCCACCCCGGAATGTGGCCGTTCTCTCCTCCCACCCCTACAGCAGGGCTGAGGTTGTCCCGGGTACAAAGGCCTTTTGTCCCCACAACCAGCACGCCCGACAAGATGGCTCTGGAGCCGGGAGAGTGGCAGCCTCCATGGTGGCCACGGTGGCTCCCTCCTCCCCTGCAGCAGGGCCTCCCTCCTCCCCCAGGCCCGGGCAGAGGGCACCTATGTGGCATCTTCCCTGGCACCCCCTGGCTGCAGAGCACCCTGGTGAGAACGATCTAATCGGAGAGCCCAGGCTTATACACAACTTCTCTCTGCCAGCTGAGAAAGCACGTTTCTCTGATTAACTTCTGTTACCCACAGTACACTGTAGACTAGAGAAGGCCAGGACCCTCTGAGGTGGTGCAGTGTCCCCAGGCTTGTGCTGGGTGTGGGTTCCACGGACCTCTTTATTTGTCAAAACTCATATACTTTAGGTCTATGCATTTTACTCTGGGTAAACTGTATCTCAGGCCAGGGGTGGTGGTTTACGCCTGTAATCCCAGCACTTTGGGAGGCCAAGGTGGGTGGATCATTTGAGGTCAGGAGTTCAAGACCAGCCTGGCCAAAATCGTGAAACCTGTCTCTACTGAAAATACAAAAATTAGCCGGGCATGGTGGCAGGTGCCTGTAATCCCAGCTACTCAGGAGGCTGAGGCAGGAGAATCGCTTGAACCCGGGAAGCGGAGGTTACAGTGAGTCAAGATGGTACCACTGCACTCCAGCCTGGGTGACAGAGCAAGACTCTGTCTCAGAAAAAAAAAAAAAAAAAAAAAAAAATCTCAAAAATACATGGCCACAAAAAAATACATAATCGTTGTTTTAAAACACCAGAAAATATAGGCAAGCCGAAGGAATTCTGAACAAACAACAGCCACTGCCCGAGGTCAGTTGCTGTGATTGCAAGTACTTTCCACCTGTCCAGACACCTCCATGCATGTGACACACACAATGCCAACCACACAACACAGGCTGCTATGAATGCCACTTACATCTGTCAGTGACAAAACCTGACCGTGTTTCCACTCACTCTGACACAATATTTTAAATGACCTCACATTATGCTGTGTGCATAAGCCAGTTTGTTTTCAGCAAACCCATGTATTGTTGGAAATTGACTCCTTCTGGGGTTACTCTTTCAGAATTCTAAACAGTAGTGCCACGAATATCCTGGTAGCCTGGTCTTCGAGCACCTGTAAGGTGCTATCGTGAGGTAAAGACCCAGGATCGGTGTTGCTGGGGCAAAAGACACTCGCCTGCATTTTAAAGGGTTCTCTGTTTTTGTTTTTGTTTTTTATTTTGAGACAGAGTCTCACTCCGTTGCCCAGGCTGGAGTGCAGTGGTGCGATCTCAGCTCACTGTAACCTCCGCTTCCGGGGTTCGAGTGATTCTCCTGCCTCAGCCTCTCAAGTAGTTAGAATTACAGGCGCCCGCCACCACGCCTGGCAAATTTTTGCATTTTTAGCAGAGACAGGCTTTCGCCATGTTCGTGAGGCTGGTCTCGAACTCCTGACCTCAAGCGATCCACCCGCCTCAGCCTCCCACAGTGCTGGGAGTACAGGCATAAGCCACTGCACCCAGCCTTAAAGGGTATTTTTAATGCCTTATGGAAAGCAGGGGTTCCAATAGGCTTTCCAGTCCGGTCTCTTCCTTGATCTTTCTAATTCCAAAGAGGCTGGCAGACACTGAGCCTGCGGGGAACATGAGAACCATCCTGCCTTGGAAATAAGGCTAACCTACTGAATGCAGACTAAAATGTAATACACCTTGACAGTGTGAAACTAATACCTGGGCCGGGCGCGGTGGCTCACACCTGTAATCCCAGCACTTTGGGAGGCCAAGACGGGCGGATCACAAGGTCAGGAGATCTAGACCATCCTGGCTAATATGGTGAAACCCCGTCTCTACTAAAAATACAAAAAATTAGTCGGGTGCGGTGGCAGGCGCCTGTAGTCCCAGCTACTCGGGAGGCTGAGGCAGGAGAATGGCATGAACCCGGGAGGTGGAGGTTGCAGTGAGCCGAGATCGCACCACTGCACTCCAGCCTGGGCAACAGAGCAAGACTCCATCTCAAAAAAAAAGAAAAAAAAAAAAAAAACTAATACCTGGACTTCTGGCCGGGCGTGGTAGCTCACATCTGTAATCCCAGCACTTTGGGAGGCCGAGGCGAGTGGATCGCTTGAGGTCAGGAGTTTGAGACCAGCCTGGCCAACATGGCAAAACCTCATCTCTACTGAAATACAAAAAAAAAAAAAAATTAGCTGGGCTTGGTGGCACATGCCTGTAGTCCCAGCTACTCGGGAGGCCGAGGAAGGAGAATTGCTTGAACCTGGGAGGCGGAGGTAGTGAGCCAGGATCGTGCCACTGCACTCCAGCCTGGCGACAGAGCAAGACTTTGTCTCAAAAATAGTAATAATAATAATAATAATAATAATACCTGGACTTCTGCTTTCAAGTAGGAAAGACGGGTCCCACAGGCAAGGCCACCACAACTGCTGACAACAGCCAAGGAGGCCAGACACACGGTGAAAACCTCACTGCGAAGGCATCGGGGAGCTGCGGAGGCTACCAGGACTTAGCAGACTAAAATTCCAGAGAATCAACCGAGGAGGCGGACACACGGTGAAAACCTCACTGCAAAGGCACCGGAGAGCTGCGGAGGCTACGAGGACTTAGTAGACTAAAATTCCAGATAAGCCGGTGATCCACAGCCATCTTTTTACCTGGGGACATTTGCCGATCTCGGGCACTGGGCTAAGGATTGGGCTTGGCCCAGGCAGAGAGCTGCAGCTGGGGGAAAAGAAACCAGCAAAGATTCTCACTGTCACAGGGGGGAAAGTGGCAAAATTGGAGTGTCCAGGGCCTCAACCATGCGGCGGGGCCCTCAGCACCACTCCAAGACACTTGTAGGATCTCAATGCTGCTGCAGGAGGAGGCTCAGGAGCAAGCTGAGCAGCTCTGCGAGGCAGGCCTGCACTTCCCACAGCCTTTCAAAGCGGGGAGATCAAGACCTGCCAGGCTCCCAAGCTGAAATCTGAAGAGACCAATCCCCTAAACCGGGGCAAACCAGAGGAAGCCTGAACCCCATCAAACTACACACCAGTCCACCCGGGTCCATCCCCCGTGGGGTTGAGGGACCTGCCCCTCTGTCCATCTTAACTGCCTGAGGTTTTTCTCCCAATACAGGCCAGGTGACTCCAATTAGAACAACTCCTGTGCAAATAACAACTGTAATTGCCAGACAAAACATAAACGCCATAATATAAACTCACTAGGCTGGGTGCAGTGGCTCATGCCTGTAATCCCAGCACTTTGGGAAGCTGAGGCAGGTGGATCACCTGAGGTCAGGAGTTCGAGACCAGCCTGGCCAACATGGTGAAACCCCATCTCTATTAAAAATACAAAAATTAGCCAGACGTGGTGGTGGGCACCTGTAATCTCAGCTACTCGGGACACTGAGGCAGGAGAACCGCTTGAACCCGGGAGGCAGAGGTTGCAGTGAGCCAAGATCGCGCCACTGCACTCCAGCTTGGGTGGCAAGAGCAAGACTCCATCTCTCCCTATATATGTATGTGTATATATACATATATATAAAATATACATATATGTGTGTATATATACAAACTCACTGCATTCTGAGTGACCAAAACCAGACAGAGGCTGTAGGGTGTTGACAGTCAGGAAAACGGAGTGATCCAAAGAACCACAGGACAGAGTTTGGGGTGACCACGGCAGCTGGAATGTGAGGGGGAAATTCCAGAAAGGAGAGAGTCATAGACAGGGATTCCCCAAAGACTACATCAAAAACTCAACTCAGATCTCTGGCAGAACTTGAGCTATGTGCACACAGGACAGATCCCAAGCAACTCACATAACCGAAGAGAGATTTACCTGCCAGCCACACAGAGGAGGCAGTGTTTACCGTTTGAGTTCAGTCAGGTTAACTGCTTGATGAAACGAAACCAAAACAGTTAATAATCTGGAGAGGAAGATAACGGAATCACACGTCCCTACTACGTCGTGTTCACAATGCACAGGGTCAACCCCAAGTCAACAGACATACCAAGAAGCAGGCAAATGTGACTGAGAATCAAGAATGAGAATTGATGGGAGCCAGGAGACAAAGGAATAGATCCTTAAAGTGCTGAAAGAAAACACGTGGCCAACCTAAAATTCTACACCCAGAAAAAAACATCCTTCTGAGATGAAAGTGAAATAAAGACTTTTCAGAAAACAAAACCCAGGAGAATTCATCTTTGACAGATCTGCAGTAAACGGAATAGTAAAGGAAATATATCTAGGCAAGAGGAAAATGATCGCAGATGTAAACATGAACGTGTAGAAAAAAATGAAGAACACCAGAAAAAGTAAAATACGTGGGTAAATTCAATTGAATATAGACTGCTCAGAACCATACTCGTAGTAGGTTATAGAGTTTAAAATACAAGTAGGCCGGATGCGGCAGCTCACGCCTGTAATCCTAGCACTTTGGGAGGACAAAGCGGGCAGATTGCCTGAGCTCAGGAGTTCGAGACCAGCCTGGGCAACGTGGCGAAATCCCATCACTACTAAAAATACAAAAAATTAGTTGGGCATGGTGGTGCACACCTATAATCTCAGACCTCAGCTACTGGGGAGGCTGAGGCAGAAGAATCGCTGGAACCCAGGAGGCAGAGGTTGCAGTGAGCTGAGATTATGCCATTGCACTGCAGCCTGGACAAAAGAGTGAGACCCTGTCTCAAAAAACAAATTAATTAAATAATTTAATTTAATACAAGTAAAACCACATGTATAACAACCACAACAAAGAAGGTGGGGGATATTTGCAATACAAGTGTACAGCCAAGTACAAAAAGCTTACGTCCAGAACATATATAAAGAACTCCTACAAATCAACAAGAAAAGGATAGACGACTCCCCAGGAAGTGAGCAAAAAGATTTGAAGACACTTCACCAAAGAGGATAGTCCAGCGGTCAGTAAACATGTAAGAAGATACCCCAATTTCCTTGGCTATCATGAAAATGCAAATTAAATCATGAAGTAATATCACAACCCACAGACTGGTCAATACGAACGAGGTAAACAGTTCCAGTTATCAGCAAGGCTGTGGAGTAACCAGAACCCTCACACATTGCTCGTCACGTGAAAGCTGATAGAACCACTATAGAGAAGTGCTGGATAGTAACTATTAAAGATGAACACAGGTGGACCCACTGCCAAGTTCCACCCAACAGAAATGCTTGCACCTGTTCACCAAAGACATGTACTGTGTGAGCACGTTCATGGCCACACAAAAGCCAAGAGCCAGAAGCCACTCAAACGCCCATTCGTTGTAGAAGGGATAGATGAGTGGGGGCTGCTCACCCCATGGAATGGCGCTCAGCAGTGACAATGACTGAGGTATAATCTCTTGCAACAAGGGCGACCTTGCAGACTGTATGCTGAGCGGAGGAAACCAGACACTATGGAATCCCCTTTTAGGAAGGAGGCAAATAAGATGTAGTTATCTGGCCGAGCGCAGTGGCTCACACCTGTAATCCCAGCACTTTAGGAGGCCGAAGCGGGTGGATCACCTGAGGTCAGGAGT